ATTAAACCTATAAATATATGCACATAGATCTATTTCCCCATCCTCACTTATAAATATATTTACATATATACATGCTTGTATTTAGACCTCTATAAATTCCCTTTGCCTCCTAGTTCTTTCCTCTTGTCCCACTATCATGCTCAGCCTTCATTTGGGTTTCAGTAATTCCTCTCAGCCCTACCAGGCCTCTTACCCCATCATCATATATAAATATATTTACATATGTACATGCCTGTATTTAGACCTCTATAAATGCTCTTTGCCTCCTAGTTCTTTCCTCTTTTTCCATTTACTTTCCTCTTGTCCCACTATCATGCTCAGCCTTCATTTGGGTTTCAGTAATTCCTCTTGGTTACATTACCCTTGATCACGTCCTACCAGGCCTCTTACACCCTCTTCTCCACAAATTTTGGATCACTTGTTGTTCCCTTGTTCCTGGGTTTGTTAACACCATTTCCTTTCCCCCACCTCCCGCCTCCCATGTCCCCCTGGAACCGTTGGTCCCATTGTTTTCTCCTCCAGATTGCTTATCCAGTCTACTTATCTAGATAGACCTGCAGAGATACTAATATGCACAAAAACAAGACAGAGGAAAACAAAGCAACAAGAGAAAACAACAACAAAACAATGACAAAAAAAAAAAGAAACGCCTGTAAATAGTTCAATGTCTGTTGACCTTTAGGAGTGTTTTCTGGTTGAGTGTGATGGGGTGCCATGCCCTGGCCCCAAAGTCTATTTTTGGTATTCCCTGGGGACTTCCTTTCTCTGTTCCCCTTGCTGTTCTGTTCCACGCCCTTAGTGTTTTGCCTTGGTGTGGTGGGGTCAGATCGGGCCGCAGTTTCCATACTGTGTCTCCAGTGTTGTCCACTGTAGGGCTGTGGGTCAGTGAGGGACGTCGTGTCTCATAGTGGGGCCGGCCATATGGTCCTCTCTGTGCATTGGCTGCTCTGAGCAGGGATATCGTCCTCCAGGCCTAGTGGGCCAGGATGAAGGCAGCACTATTATGGGAGGCTTTTGTGGGGATCAGTCTTGGTTATGAGAATGTGATTGGGACTTATCTCTAATCCACAAGTGTGAAGGCCTCCCTCCACCCAGAATTCCAGCCTGCCAGGCTTCTTAAAATATGAGAATAAAGAATTCATCCACACTCTCTTCCCAGTCCTGTTTCCCACAGTCATCAAAAAAGGAAGGCGCTTCCTATGATGGCATGCACCGTGGTTGCCACAAAAGGCGCGAACATTACAGTGGTGAGGCTGGTTTGGGCTGGGCGGTATCTTGTGCGTTTTACGCAGGGTTGCTAGAAGTTGGACAGATTGGATGGGACTTCATAACGAATAACAGCAACAACCAAGCTCTCTCTCCATGTCCTTTATTGCATTTACCTTTGGGGACTGCAGGAGAGGTGATATTGACCAGCTATGATGCCTTCCTGTACCTCCCCTGGAGGCTAGATTTTGAATCGGAAAAGGTGGAAGAGGTTCCTGTGTTCCCCTCCTTGCCCCGAGACAGTGGAAAGCTAACATACCTGCTCGGATGAGTAAACATCCAGAGAATAAACTTGGGTGTGAATTTCAAGATAGCAGCCCATTGGCAGTTACGATGTCTGTTTTACAAGCCCGAGGAACGCATCTTGGCCAAGAATAGGCAACTTTTAGGCGTTAAAGATTCAGACCCACATCTACCTGATTTCCCTATCCCTCGGCTTCATCACGGGACATTCTGATCTTGACATAGTTTGAGCAACAACACGAGGCTCAGTGAAACAGGAGCACAGAGCCAGAAACTGGCTCCCCAGTACACACATGCCCAAGAAGCCAGAAGATCCCCTTCAATTTTATTGCTTTAAATAGATATTTCTTCGTATAAGCAGCCCAGTGTCAAGGGGTTAATGGGATAGAGGGAAGGGAAATGAGGATCCTGTGGTGGGCAAAGTCTGCTCTGGAGAAGTGGGCTGCAGTGATGCAGACAGGTAGTGTGATGGCACCGAGGTCCCTTCCTGGCCGAGCTCCTCGGCTGGTGGGCTTGCTGGCCGAGGGCCGGTTTCAGTCCTTGGGTTTCTTGCAAGGTGATTGACTGGGACTTGGATGGTCCGTGTCTTGGTGCGTGGGTCCCTTGGGCTTCTGGGCTGGCCTTCACATAAATAGAACATAGTAGTAAATGATGCCTAACCCGCAGAGTATAGCAAACACATTCAACCAACAAGTTCGTCCCGAATTAACGTAAGCATCTTCCCAGCGGCTCTCCTGGTTAGCCTTCCAGGTCTGTAGGGATGGGAGAGTAGACGTGGGTTTCTGCGTTCAGCCCTGTGATACTCGGGGAAGGAGCTAGGGAGGAAACCCTTACCCAGGCCAGAGCATATGGGGAGAGGGCAGTGAGGGAGGAGGGTGGGCCACGGACGGGGCTTCCTTGTACCTTATAACAGAAGAAGGCAGCGGGAATTCCTAGGGGAAAGAAAAGAATTACGCTCAGGACGGTCAAAGTTAAGTAATTCGGGGCATAGAACTCCCGTTCTTCTGCTGTCTGTAGGTCTTCTGGCTTAACTTCCTGAGCCGGGGCTTCGGGGGCTTCGGGGGCTTCGGGGGCTTCTGGGTCGGCAGGGTCAGCGGGGGAGCCCGGGTCAGCGGGAGGGGCAGCGGGATTTGCCCGGGCAGCTGTTTTTTTCACGACCATTGCACTCCACTGAAGGTGGGCTCCCAGCCCCTCCTCGGGTTGAACTGCAACCCCAAGGCCCAGCCCTCGCTGGCCAGTCCTTCACAAAGGAGAGGGCCGCACAGCACGTCCTGATTGGCTGCCTCCTTGAGGGGCGTGGCTCCTCTGTTGAGCAAGTCCCGGACTCTGCCCCAAACTTTATCCCGCCCTCTGCCAGGTGTGTGGGAGCCCCGGCTCCCGGGGGTGGTGGTGCAGCGGTGACTTGTTGGGCCGCTTACAATCAGGTCAGCAGTTCGAAACCACCAGCCACTCTGCGGGAGGAAGACGGGGCTTGCTACTGCCACAAAGAGCCACCGCCTGGGAAACCCACAGGTCAGTTCTACTCTGGCCTATGAAGTCAGCCTGAGTCAGAATCGAAGGCCGCGAGTGTTGGGGGTTTCTCAGACCCTAACTCGGCCCTACCTGGTGGGTTGGATCGGAAGCTACTTGTTGGACCCCACCTCTTTCTTTTAGAGCCCCCACCTGCAGACAGGGCCTCCCTAGAGCCACAGGAGAGAGACAGTGGACAAACGAGAAGATTGACCAACAGTTGTCAGGTGCTGCCAAGTGAGTCTGACTTCCATGTACGACAAGACCAAATGCTGCCGGCTCCGGTGCTGTCACCATCCCTGCTACATCCAGCCACTGGGTCAATCTGTCTCAGGAAGGGAATTCCGCTTTCTTGCTTGACCTTCTCCCAAGCAGGATGTCCTTTTCCAGGGTCAGGTCTCTCCTGAGAACATGTCCAAAGCACTTCCGGGAAATCTCGTGATCTCTGTGTGGTAGTTACATCATTTCATGTCAACTTGAAGATCTATCAAAGTGGAGGGGTGGAGTTTCGCCCGTCAATCAGGTCGCAACCTGATGGTGACTCCTTGTGGGCATGTTCTCATAAAGAGGGCCCTGGGAACCCCCTCCCCACCTTCTGCCTTCACCTTCCTGCTGGCAGACTCTGGTTGCTGCCAGAGCCTTGGAGATGCGTCCACCGCCCTTGGACCCATGGGACTTTGCACCCACCAGGCTGGTGATCTTCCTGTGTAGTATTAAATTAAAAAATAATGACGCAGAGGGAGGTGGGGGGCCGGCCCCCACCCGCTGATACTACTAGTAGTACTACTTCTACTCGGATTCAGTAATGCACAATTGTACGGTTGAGATATATAAGTATTATATTAAAGTCATTGAGAGCATGAGAGATAATACAGTAATACAGTCAGACACGTTTCATGGCAACATTGCTCACCTAAGCCCAGCTTGGTGGTCCACGTGGAGAGGGGGAAGGGAAGGAGGGGAAGGGAACAAGGGAGAGGGGAGTGACCAGGGAGTGAGCAGCAAGGAGCTCAGAGTCAGAGAGAGAGATATTGCTGGCTCACACCTATATACCTTTTGAGGGCAAGCCAGCCCACTAATTACAGGTAGAGACATACATCACAGGAAGGGGCTGCACTGTAGGTTACACAGCAATGAGAGGGTGGTCTAGGGGGTGGTCTCTGGGTCTCCATAGGAACCATTATCAGTAGGGTGTAAACCCCTCCTACAGGAGCCTGTCCATTGTCTCCAGAGGCAGGGAGCAGGCCCACCCCTGTGGAGGGATGAGACAGCAGTCTGGCAACTGATTGCCTACAGGGGGGGAATGCCTGAGCATCTGACCTCCCCCCACATTCCTGCATTCTGCATCATTGCACGTGACTTCATGAGTCTGAAGAGGGACTAATGGACCAGCATTGGCCTTAGGGCCTTGATGGACTGGGCTTGGATGTTTGCTTGATATGTAAGTATTTCTTGATATAAAGTTCTCGCTTACACATATAGGAGTGTCTCTGGATTTGTTTCTCTAGTCAACCCGGACTCACACACTACATTTTTAAGGAGTGATGGTCAGGAACGGATTATAAAATATTGCAATAAAACAGAATTATTTAGTCCACATGGAGAGAAAGGAGGGAGGAAAGAAAAGGGAATAGGTCTTTCATAAAGAAGAATTTAATAAAGGGGATGATGGAAATAGGAAATCATCCTTGTGGTAAGAAGACCCCAAGCTATCTGTCCTCCCTTCACCTCTGTGCACCTACCTATTCAATTGAGCACCCATCTAGCTGTTGCTGGGAAGGGATTTGAAAGATGTAATTAAGGCAGTTATACCCTGTCCTGTCAGATCACAATGAGTCAGCATTGACTCAATAGCAGTGAGTTTTTGAGAGAAGGATCCGAGTGGCTCTGTTGGGTGAGCACTGAACTGCTCACAGCAATGTTGGTGGTTCAAAACCACCAGCTTCCCTTCTGGAGAAAGATGCAGCTACCTGCTCTGATAAAGATTTACAGTCTCAGAAACCCTATATCGAGTCACCCTGAGTCAGAATTGACTCAATGGCAGTGGGCTTGGTTTTGGTTTATGGCTATTTCCCAAGTACTCATCTGTCAATTTGTCCTACCATGATGGCTTGTACGTTACTATGATACTGGAAGTGATGTCATTTGTCTTTCATGGCAGACAGATTTTAGCTGAACTTTTGAGTAGACATAGACTGGGAATCAGGAAGAGGTGGCTAGTTTCTGATAAATTAGCCCCGACACCCCTTCTGAATGGCACCAGAAGATTGTCTGACATGGTGCCAGAAGGACCCCTTAGATTGGAAGGCACTCAAAATAGGACAGAAGAGCCACTTCCTTGTAGCAGAGTCAGCCTGAATGACCTTGATGGAGCAAAGCTTCGAGAACCTTCATGTGCTGCACTGGACTGTCTCAAAATGACAAGAGACAGCTGCAAACATCAACTAGTAATTGGGACGTGGAATGCACGAAGCATGAATCTAGAAACACTGGACATTTTTGAAATGGAACACACAAAGATTGATATCTTGGTATGATATGGATGGGTTTTGGATATTTGAGACAGACAATTGTGTGATGTACTCTTCTGGGAATTGAAACGGAATGGTTCATTTCTTCTGAAACAAGCGTTTCGAGGTCTATCAAAAGTACAACTGTCAGTGATAGGATAATATCCATAAGCCCACAAGGAAGATAGTGTGACTATTTCCCAAAGGTATGCCACTAATGCTTAAGCTAAAAAAAATATTGAAGATTTCTACGATTTCTGCAGTCTGAAATTGAACATGCAATCAAGATGCATTGGCAAACACTAGTTATTCTAATGGGAGAGCTGGAAATAAAGAAGGAGAAGCAGGTGGAAATATGACCTTGGCGACAGAAATGACACCAGAGAGTGCCTGGCGGACTTTTATATGACCAACACCTTTTAAAAATTTAATTTAATTTAATTTTGTTTTTAATTATTTTATTGGGGGCTCGTACAATTCTCATCACAATCCATACGTCCATCCATTGTGTCAAGCACATATGCACATTTGTTGCCCCAACACCTTTTTTTTAAAGGACATTTATTCGGCATCATGATCAGACTACTACATTTAGCAATCAACTGCATGGGTTAAACAAACAAACCCCCCAAGACATCATGGGTTAAAAAAAGGTGTGTGTGTGGGGACTCTACAGTAAAATTCTTTCAGCCAGTTATGCAAGAATTCACAATATAGTACTCACATTCTTTTGCCCATACAAATGTGTGGGAAATTAACACCAAGGGAAATATGACGACCATATTCCCTAATTCATAACAGAGGGAATCTGGAAAGCTAGTATTCCACGATAGGAAAGCCACCATTTTGATAAGTTAGAGATAATGTCCAAGCACAGGATCCTGCTTTAAATAGCATTCCCACAGATTCTCCCCAAACAGCTATGCTGCCTTAAAGTGAGCACATGGTTGATTCTGTCTCTCTGTAGAAGCAGACATTCTTGTTATCTCCTCCTGCCAAGGCACCCATTCCCCTTCATGCCTTCCCCCATTGCAGGTATTAGGTTTCCTCACCTGTGTGCTCAAAGACTTTACTGTAGTTACCACCCACCTTGTGATGTATGTAACTCCTGAATATGCATGACTAATGGATACCTATAAATATCCCAAGACAGTAAAGACTTGCTCTCTCTGCTCGGACCTGGCTGCTGAGGTCATGGCCATCCCGGAGATGAGCATGCTACTATGAAATGTGTCTGACTCCTTTTTTTATTTATTTTTTTGTAGGTTTAGCAAGATATTGGTATTGCTTTCATTTATTGAGATGTGTAAATATATACAGTGTGTTTCTTTAAAAACAAACAAATAAAAATTCCTCCAGATTCTTTTTTTTTATTCTCTTATTTTTTAATACACAAAGAATATAGGTATAAATACATACGGTGTATACTTGTGTATAAGCTCTGTTTTTCAGCATATATATATTTGAATAATCATTTTATTAGGGCCTCATACAACTCATCACCATCCGTACATACATCATTTGTGTCCAGCACATTAGTACATATGTTGACTTCAACATTCTCACACCTGCTTTCCACTTGAGCCCTTGGTGTCAGCTCATTTTTCCCCCCTCCCTCCCTGATCCCCACTCCCCC